GTTCCCCGAACTTTGCGGGATGTTGGCAGTCTGTTCTACCGCGGAACGTCCCGCACTGCACTGCGCCCTCTGAAGCTGTAATTGGCTAAAGTCTTGCACTTGACCTGATCAGGTGCAAGACTTTACCAATCAGGGCTCAGTACACATTTAGAGCCATGATTGGGCAAAGTCATGATGACTGCCGAATCATGGCTCACAGCTAAGTCCCTGAAGTTATTATGACCACCTGACTTTTGTAGGCAAATTAGCTATAATTTTGCGCTGAAGTTGCTAGAGGGCCAGACCATTATAAATAGGGAAGCGGGTTGGTTACCACGACAGTAGAACAGTAGAAGTGATTTGTTTCTGAAGATACGGGGAAACAACGCGATTTAACAGCCTTTGTGGGATGATTGTTGGCGCTCGGAGCCATGGAGCGAGTATCAGCAAAACAGCAGAATTCGTTAACTGTTCAACAGGGGCTCATTGTTAAAGTGTTTAAAGACCGGACTGTCAGCCGAAAATCTGGGTGTGAACGTGCGAATTGTGGCCGTCAGCGACTAGTCAATGTTAGGGCAGAACGGGGGAGGGGCAAGACTGGTACAAGACAACAGAAGGGCAACAGTGCATCAAATGATTGCAGATCTTAATCAGGGATCCTCTCCAATGATCTCTGAACGCACTGTTCGCCGTACACTGCATTGTATGGGATATGGAAGCCCAAGGCCTGTTCGAACACCTTTGCTGTCTGCAGTTAACAAGATAAAACGTCTCCAATTCGCACAGGAACACAAGGATTGGACAGCCGAGCATTGGAAAAAAATAATGTGGTCCGATGAATCACGTTTCCCGTTGCATCATGCATATGGCAGAGTGAGAATTTGGCGGGAACAGCATGAAAGCATGCACCCCACATGCATGAGTACAACCCTTTAAGCTGGTGGGGGCAGTGTTATGATTTGGGGCATGATTTGGGCCCTTAAATTCGTGTGGAACAACGTCTGAATAGCACAACATACCAAAGTATCGTTGCTGATCATGTTGATGGCGTATCCCAATGGAGATGGCTTCTTCCAACAAGACAATGCGCCATGCCACAGTGCTCGTATTGTGCAGGAGCGGTTTCAAGAACATGAGGGAGAATTTACCTTGCTTAGGTGGCCCCCACAATCACCAGATCTCAATCCAATTGCAGCATTTGTGGGACGAAGTTGAAAGAGCCAATCAGGCAGCCGGTTCCACAACCATCAAATCTCACAGAACTGGACAGCGCTATTCATCAGTCATGGTGTCAGATTCCTCGCATCACCTTTCAACATCTCGTGGAGTCAATGGCAAGAAGAATCGCCGCAGTATTGAAGGCAAGAGGTGGCCCAATGAAGTACTGATGGGGTGGTCATAATAATCTGGCCACTCAGTGTGTATATATATCACTATTTCGGATGTACTTATTCCGATATCTGGAGATAGCAATTGATGATCACGCAATTAATAACTCAGAGTATTTATAGTCAAGATATCTTTATCTTTATGGTTAGGTTTATTGTCCAGTAAACATTTTAAACCAGGATTCATGTTCCCAAACATAATTTCCTACTGGATAAAGGGTGGTGTCTCCGATGACCACTTTGGTGTCCTTGGGGACTTAAACGACAACTACCGGTGTAGGTAACAATATCTTTTTATTCTGAATTAATTCTTTAGAATAAATATTCGCCTCTTTTTCAGTAGTGCTTACTAACCATCTGTTCCCCACTAATGTGGCCTGAACACTTGAGTTGTCTTGTATTTTATAGACATGTGCGATTCGTTTCGTTACGAATCGAAATTCGTACGAATTTTCCTGAAATTCGTAGATTCGTAAGCATACGAAATCCGAATGGCAGTTTCCAAATTTATATCCGAAATACGAAATTCCGTTTCTTTGAAACAGTAACTAATATTACTCCTGTAAATGAGGTAGAACAACATGACAAGATTTTTTTTTTAATCCGAAATACGGATCCGCTGCTGCTGAGAGTTGCATTACAATACACAGGCAGGAAATACGAAATTCCGTTGACGTATTTTCGTTCCGTTACGAACATTCGTTACATTGAAGGTAAAAAGCAAAGTACATTTATATTGGAGTTGATGGTAGTTTTTTTTTAAGTCCGAAATACGAAATTCGGATACGGAATCCGTTAACGGAATTCGTATTTCGGATAAAAAAACAACTACCACATCAACTCCAATATTAACAAAGGTATTTTTGCTTTTTAACTTCATCATAACGAATGTTCGTAAAGTTACAAAAATGTGTCCCGAAACTAACGAAAATCCGCATTTTGTACGAATCCGAATTGAGTTTCGGATACGAATTACGAAATACGAAATAATGGATATTACGAAACGGAACTAATTTTTTGACGGCGCACAAGTCTAGTATTTTACTGATGGTTACTCTACATTTTTCTGATCCATATTTGATGTATTCCAGTCCACATAATGCCTGTGCTGCATCATATACAAAAGGTTTTCCTTCACATTGAAAATGATTGTCTTTAAACTTGACACATTCACTTAATATTGGTATTGAGAACACTTCAGGTTCCAACAAAAAAAGGGGGCAAGGTGCCAACCTGGGAACTATAGACCGGTGAGTCTGACATCGGTAGTTTGTAAACTGTTAGAGGGCATGATTAAGGACTATTTGGTAGAATTTGTTCAGGATAATGGCATAGTTAACGACAATCAGCACAGGTTCAGGAAAGACCGTTCCTGCCTAACTAACTTGCTAACTTTTTATGAGGGGGTAAGTAGAGATATGGATGGAGGTAAGCCGGTGGATGTGGTATATCTGGATTTCTCAAAGGCATTTGATACGGTACCACACAAACGCTTGCTACACAAGCTGAGGGCTATGGGCATAGATGAGGTGGTGTGTACGTGGATAGAGAACTGGCTACGGGAACGTGTCCAGAGGGTATCTGTAAATGGCACCTTTTCAGACTGGGCTAGTGTAATGAGCAGTGTGCCTCAGGGTTCTGTGCTGGGTCCCATATTGTTCAACTTATTTATTAATGACATCGGGGAGGGTGTTAACAGCGATATTTCCGTGTTTGCGGATGACACCAAAATTGGGAGGGTAATAGACACGGACTTAGACACTATAACATTACAGGAGGACCTGGATAAAATAGGGGAGTGGGCATTAATGTGGCAGATGAGGTTTAATGTCGATAAATGCAAAGTAATGCACTTTGGGATTAAAAATAAACAAATGGGCTATACAATTATGGGTATGCCGCTAGGGAAGTCAGAAATGGAGAAGGATTTGGGGGTCATTGTAGACCACAGACTGAATGGTAGCTTGCAGTGCCAGGCTGCTGTAAACAAAGCTAGCAGGGTCTTGTCCTGTATTAAAAAGGGGATGTATTGCAGGGACAAGTCTATAATTTTGCCACTTTATATACCGCTGGTTCGGCCTCATCTGGAGTACGCGCTCCAGTTTTGGTCACCAGTACTCAGAAAAGATGTCCTTGAGCTGGAGAGAGTCCAGCGGAGGGCAACCAAACTAATTAGGGGTATGGAGGACCAGAGCTACGAGACAAGGCTACTAAATTTAAACATGTTCACGTTGGAAGTAAGGAAATAAAGGGAGGATATGATTTTCATGTACAAGATGTTCAATGGTGGTAGCAACATTGGCAACAAACTCTTTAAGAATAACTCCATTACAAAGACTAGAGGCCACCAGCTAAAATTGGTGGAAAAAAAATTCCAGCACAAAGGGCAAAGGGGGTTCTTCACAGTAAGAGCGGTTAGGGTCTGGAACCCACCAGCAGTGATTTCAGCTAAGAGTGTGGAATTGTTCAAAAAACTTTTGGACGATTTCCTGAGGGACCGTAATATACAGGGGTACAAGTACTCCTAAAAATGAGATGATACATCAGCAATAGGTTGGACTTGACGGACTCATGTCTTTATTCAACCTCAAATACTATGTAACTATGTAAGTGATACGTAATTATCTCTGGAGTCTGTATCCTAATGTGAAAATTGTCCTGGTAAGTTCCAACATTATGAATGTATTTCATTTGAAATATGTCCTTATTACTCAAATATGGTATTGATAAAAGAAAACAAATCTCCATTCCAATGTATAAAGGAAGAGCACTTCCCATTTCAAATGATAAATGGACATGTAGTTCTTCCGTCGCTTCTCCTATTTCACTTAAAGGAGAACTATGAGGTGAGTGATTTTCAATGAAACTGTCACAGGTCGGCTCAGTAGATCGGGGGTGAACGAACACATACCGGCGCTCGCTCACTTCTCGATCCTGTCACTGCAGAGAGCCGTGATAGGGGAGGGACTGGATTCCCCCCTCCCCGCTCCGATCCTCCAGCGCTGACTGGCGGAACGGAAGGGGAGGGGGCGGGTACAGCTGGCTCTACCTCTAGATAGGCAGAGCCAGCTGTCACTCACGCAGCTGGGTGGATCCAGACATAATTGTCGGGATCCGCTTCAGCTGCGGCGTCTTAGTATACCGCAAGCTGTGGCTCGCGGTATACTGAGCTTAGGGTGACGGGAGGACGCTAGTTTGTGTTCTCCCGTTAGCCTTAGGAGAACTATGGGGAAAAGCCCTGACCCAATAGTTCTCCTTTAACATTTTCTTTATTATGTCTCGAGAAATAAAATATAATGGAACGCGACCATGAAGTAAATCATTCATGCCATTTTGAAATTTATCTATGGACGTTAAGGTATGGAACATTATGGGATCTTTCAAAAATAATATTTATTAATGAAATCGTTCATGACTTTGATGTAACTATAGAATGTGCAATCAGTTCAGAATGTAAGTTTGTAGTAACTATGATATTGTTAACTACGTCCATCAACTTTTCCATATTAGCCTTTTGGATTTTAACTTCTCGATATAGAAAATCAATGTTTTCTCTTAAATTCCCTACTTCAGTTTGCAATGTTTTTATGGATAAATAAATAACTGCTGAAGTGGTAGTGGATACCACCATACCCAGTGTGGCAAAGACGATGCTGGCAATCAAGAAACCGATGAATCTCTTCGGTCGTTCGTTTGAAGACATTGGTTGGATAATGATTGGTTTCCTGGCTTGCTGTAAAATGTCTCGCACTCTAGCTTGAGCTCGGTTTATGTGTGCGATATACCACTCTTGCATTTCCACGAGTTGAAAATGGGATATATAGTAGTTCCTTTCAACGGATATCTTGGGGTCCAAACTCACAAAGATCTTCTGAGATAATATCTTTCTTTCCGTCAACAAGAATCCTGGAGCATCCTGCAACATGACTCCTGAGGAGGGACCCGGTTTGATGATAGGTTCGGTCCTGAACTGGGCGCCAAGAATTAAAACCATCCACGCGATCGATGTATCTTTGGTAGTCATCAACATCTTTACCGATTAGAGATCTGTTAAGATTGTCAATCGTTTTCTTATTTAAGAAAAACAGATGGTATGAATACATATTCTCATTCATTGATATTTACATTTTCTGGTGCAACATTTGTTTCTTTATAGAGGATTACAAATCCCAACAATACATTATACAACAATGCAGAATAATAATATATGAATTTTCTACATACTCTGTGCCGCTGCTCTGCTCCATGGTGCCGGCCTGATATCTCAGGTGGTGGATCTCGGGGGCTGTGGAGGATCTCAGTAGGGCTGTAGAGGATCTCAAGAGGGTTGTGGAGGGTCTCAGGGGAGCTGTGGAGTGTTTAGGAGGGCTGTGGAGGATCTGTGGATGGTTTAGGAGGGCTGTGGAGGATCTCAGGAGGGCTGTGGAGGGTCTCCGGAGAGGTGTGGAGGATCTCAGAAGGGCTTTGCAGGGTCTCAGGAGGGCTATGGAGGGTCTAAGGAGGGTTGCGGAAGATCTCAGGAGGGGTGCGGGGGTTCTCTGGAGGACTGTGGCCTGAAATATTTCAGATGGAGGATCTCAGGAGTCGTTGGAGGTTCTCAGGAGGGTTGTGGAGGATCTCAAAGGGGCTGTGGAGGGTTTAGGAAGGCTGTGGAGGATTGTAGGAGGGTCCAGGAGGGGAGCAGAGGATCTCAGGAGGTCTGTGGAGGGTCTAAGGAGGGGAGCAGAAGATCTCACAAGGTGTTCCCCAGAAGGCTGACAGCAAGTATGGAACATTACGGCATCCGCTTTAATTTAAAAATGTAAAGCACCAGACCGTGCCCCCTCCAATGGGGAGGGGAAGCCCTGGACCGGATCCCACTGCTCCCGCCCCCACCCTCGGCCCCTGCTTCAGGTTTTAGCAACTTCCATATCTCAGTTATACGGGACCCACTGACTCAGAAGTCCTCTTGCGGAGGACAAACTTACTTATTTTTTTTTTTAAAAAGGAAATATGTAGAATAAAAAAATATGAAAAAGTCAGGTGACAACTGAGCAGAATTGTGGAACCGGAGCAGACGAGTGGCAGGTAAAACAGATTTTCACTATTCACTCCTTACCGGTGGGCAGAGCCGGGAACTGGATAGCCGAGATCTCTCTGTCAAGAGAAAGGATGAGCAGCCGGTGATGCGTCCAGGTTACACAGACCCAGAAATAAATGGTAGAAGGAGATTTTGTTTAGCCTGTACGTTTTTAATATAAAGTTTTCTCACAGATGGCACAAAAGGTCGTATTGCAATCTTTATCATTCCATTTTCCCAGGTGCCACATCTGACCGCAGTTTTCCTTGCCGAATTCATCGTTTGGTTCTTTCTCGTGCCATGACCTGATGGGGAAATACAATAAACCAAAAATTACAGATAAAGATTTCGGGTATTCATCTGGGGAATGTTTTTTTTAACCTTTTTTTGCATCTCGGTGCTTTAATCTCCTCCCCCGCCTCTTCCAGCTACTTCCTGTCTACATGAACTTGCTCTAGCAATGGCTGCACATCATTGCCCTGGATCGGCTTCCTGACAACGACGGACCATGTCTGTGCAATGTGTGTGTCCAGCTGCTTGTAATATCTCCACCAGGGGGAACACGTGACAGGGAGATATTTTTTGGGAGAGAGTTACACCCCCCATAACAGCAGTGGCATCTAAAGGGGGGTTCGGGGGTGCAACCCGGGTGAGACCATTGGAGGGGTGACACCAAAATGACTCACATGTCTATGCAAAGTGTGTCCCCCGACTGCTTGTAATCTCCACCAGGGGGAACACGTGACAGAGAGATATTTTTGGGAGAGAGTTACCCCCCCCGCCCCCATAACAGCAGTGGCGTCACTAGGGGGTTCTGGGGGTGCAGCCCAAACCTGAGTGAGACCATTGGTGGGGTGACACCAAAATGACTGACATGTCTATGCAATGTGTGTGTCCCTGACTGCTTGTAATCTCCACCAGGCTGAACACATGACAGGGAGATATTTTTGGGAGAGAGTTACCCCCCTATAACAGCAGTGGCGTCACAAGGGGGGTTCGGGGGGTGCACCCTGCACCCGAGTGAGACCATTGGAGGGGTGACACCAAAATGACTGACATGTCTATGCAATGTGTGTGTCCCTGACTGCTTGTAATCTCTACCAGGGGGAACACATGACAGAGAGATATTTTTGGGGGAGAGTTACCCCCCTATAACAGCAGTGGTGTCACAAGGGGGGTTGGGGGAATGCAGCCCACACCCGGGTGAGACCATTGGAGGGGTGACACCAAAATGACTCACAGTCACCCCCTCTGAAAAGTTGGGCACTCGGTCATAAACCAAGAGCACGACAGTTTCAGGCGAGAGGAGCCGACTCGGCGGTCTACCTTATCCCGCCGGGTGACTGTCCCCTCCTCTCTCTGCCGGCATCCATCACCAAGATGGCTGCAGGCAGGTATCAATAAGATGCACAATGACGTCATGGCGGAGTGTCACCCGGTATGTGCTCCGCGTGACAACCAGCCTCGGGACGCCCCTGCCTAACAAGAAGTGCCTGAACAAAGGACCCAGTTTTCTTTTATTGAAAGCTTCTGAATTGAATCAACTTTTGGACATAAATGAACATGTTAAAACTGATATGAGATTTTAGTGATTGGGTTTACATCTACTGCAACACGTCACTCGGGTCGACTTATAGCGGTGTAGGATAGGGATGTACAGCACTGCGTATAGAATGAGTCAGTGTGGATAAGGGGATGTACAGCACAGTGTACAGGATAGGATGGTGAGGTATGTAAAATGTGTAGCACAGAATGCAGATTGGCTGAGCATGGAATACAAAATGTACAGCACAGAGTGCGGAATGAGAATGTATAAATAGGGAATGTATATCGTGTCGTACAAAATGGAATGGTGCAGAATAAGGGAATTTAAATCTTAGGAAATCATTACTAAAACAAACGTACTGGAATGATGTCGGAGTTAACGTTGTGCCATCGACCCATTTGTAGGTATTTTTGGTCTCCAGATCAGTCAAGCCAATCCAAAGAAATCTGTCGCCTCTGTTCTTGCTTAGGAAATTCTATAAATAAAACACACAGATGTCAATACGAGCCGGAGGTTCGAGGATTGCTACTAGACTATGTAAAGGCTCAAAAAGTTTATTTTGTTTAGTTTCATATCGATTAGTTGATTTTATTTATTTTTTCGGATCCAAATTCGATTCGGAATTCGGATGGATACAAATTTTTTCGGTTCGGATCAATTCAAATCTATTTTTCGAGTTTATTATGTTGGTAAATTGGTGAATTTGAAAATTGCCAAGATACCAAAAAAAAAAGCTTGCCCCCCCCCCGCCCCCAATACAATACCAGACCCTTGATCCAAGCAGCGGCCCGGCACAGCAGGAAATGGGGGAACGATTGTGC